TGAAGACACTGGTTGGATATATTTCACTTGACACTTACGCCGGCGTCTGGCCTATCCTTGCAGTTAACAAGTTGAAATGGCCACAAGAGGCAAACCTGAAGCTCGCGGAGCCCACTGCTAGTCTTCAAGGTTGAGGATGCTGCGCGAACTTGACAAGGTTTGAGCCTCGCGGCTCTCCGTTGCGCCTATGTGGGATGTTCCCGCGCTTTCTAGTCACGTAGAAGGCGCCACCGCGCAGGCGCAGAGAGCCAAGGCTGCCTCGGCCATGGGCGACGTTGGAGGCGCCCAGGAAGCCTGCCGGGTTAGTGAGTAGTTCAGTCGCTGCTTACGCCCAGGCGATGGCAGTCCCCGGGGCCTTCCCACCACTGTGTGGTTGTGAGGCCTGGAGACCCCGCAGCCAGCGTAGCTAGGGCAGAGTGGGTGAGTGGCCGGGTATGAGGCGCCTCTGCTTGCCTTGTCTGGAACGACCCAAGGCCAGGGCTAGGAGTTTGAGGGCCACAGTGGGCGTGGGTGGAGATGAAGTCGCACAAGGCCCAAGGCAGAGGCTTGCGGCCTCTGTCCCTGTGGAAGGTCCCAAGGGGATGCCCCAAGGCACTGTTCTTTTGTTTAGGAGCTTGATGTCAGCTTGCGAGAGGATCTGGTTTTCACAGCAAGTGAAATCCTGATGCACATTCTGCTTCAGTCCCACACATATCCTGTGTGCTGCACCTAGCCCTGAGTCTCTGCCTGCCCTGGATGGCCTGCCTGGGCTGCAGTGGCTGGCAGAGGGCTGGGCACACCTAGCAGCAATTGGAGAAAGATGACTTCCTTTCCCACCCTGATTCCCCCTGTGCTGCAATGTTAAAAAAAGTTAAAGTTTTTAGAATAGAGCGCTTGTATGCTCTTAAGGAAAATCTAGCTCCTGGTTTGAATGCTGAGGTTTCAGCACTATAAATGCTTTGTGTGCATTTGTGTACGCTGCACTTTTATTTTCCAGCAGAAGAGGCCGTTAGGTAAAGATACTTTTGAAACAAAATATAAGAGGTATGAAAGGACAGGAAGGGTGTTGCCAGGCAGCTCATTTTTCATCTTAAGGGAAATATAATAATCTTAAAATCTTGTTCTTTTAGCACATGGATACTAAAGAAGAATTCGTTAAAGTCAGAAAGAAGGATCTGGAAAGACTGACAACCGAAGTGATGCAAATCCGGGACTTCTTACCCAAAATAGTAAATGGGGAGATACTGGAAAGCTTCCACAAATTAAAGCTTGTAGAAAAAAGTGAGTCTTAATTCATTTTAATAGTCTTTGGCGGTTCCATCAGGTTTATTGATGTTTGTAAATTAATCATTAGTGAATTTCAAGGTACCATTACTGTCCTTGTAACTACTTTTGGGATCACCAGATAAAGTATAAGAAAGGTGCCCTCAGCTCCATAACTTGGACTCAGTAATTTGATTAAGTACATGTTGGAGGAAAGGTTGCCACTTTTCTGGGAAATCTGTCAGTAGAATAATTATATTGGGTTGTTGGAAGAGTCATGATGTATTTTTCTATGTTTTTCTCTGCAAAAATGTGTTGTAACTTTTCTGACAACCTGATATATTCTTGATACTGAAAAGCGCTACTCTGAAAATTAAGTCCTTGTCTAAGTTAAGGATCTTGCCATGTGGAAACCTTGCATGAAGTTAACTGTCTATGGAGAGAGTTGTATGTATGTTCATTTGTCTCTAAGTGAACTTAAATCTAGCACTGATTTAAATTCAGGCATGTTAGAACTTCTCCATTCAGACTTGAAATTTGAGCTGAGCCATTATGTCAGATATCAGTCTAGAAGCATATTGAAATTCTTGGCAATATTCTGTAATTGATTTAGCACTTGCTTGAATGAAATTGGTTAAATTGTGATGACATTGCTTTTGATAGTTAAGACTAATTTCCCACATTGCGTCTAACTTTTAGTTGTTGCGAGATTTTTCACTGTAGGGCGCATGCGCTTGCCAGACAGACAGAGAGAGACATAGAGACAGAAAGCGAGAAATCACCCCCCAGGGGGGATGGTCACACCGCAATCCCTTCTCCTCCATTCTCCTCTCGGGATCTTGGGCACGCACGCACACGCGCCCGGCGTGAGTTTTAAGCCACCAAGTCCGGGACACGAACCGCGGTCGACTACGTGGGAGTCCAGCGACATAGCCATTACGCTAACTGCTGGTTCCCATGACATTGCTTTTAATAGTTAAGACTAATTTCCCACATTGCGTCTAACTTTTAGTTGTTGCTGTGGGGCTTCTAGAAAAGTGTATCCAGAGTACCCAGGTACTATTTCTAGCAGTAGTCCAGACAAGAGGATATCTTGACCCAAGAATGTGAGTTTTTGGTTTGTGCAAATGGGCCAGCTACATCCAGTTACATGAGAGGATACTCATGGTTACCACAGTTCCCTGCCCTGTTTATATTCTCTTTGAAGTTTTGAGATCCACTTTCTTCTCCTCTGCCCTGTATTGGACCTGGGATAAGATGCCTATGATTCTCTTGCTGGCTGCCAGATGGGCTCTCCAGTGGATGGCATTGCTGGGTGGAGAAAGAAGGTGTAGTGTTTCTTCCTACTTTCTCCCTGCCTTGCAGCTGTTCTCTGGCAGCACCTCCAGTCCCCACTATGTGGACTCCTACCTAGAGGTCTTCTCTACAGTCCCAGCTGTCACTGGACTCCAGAGAATAGTAACACTTTTTTTGTGCTTGTACTTCAGCTCTAGAGCTGTTGCTGGTCCTTGGGCACCTCACCATCTTTTCTTGGGCCCCTTATTCCTACTCTTCCCTCTGTAAGTCATCCTTCCAGTGAAGTTGCAACATCTGGGTTGATTTGTTTTCCATTAGGATTCTGCTAGATAGGCTTGATTATGTTTGGTTGCCCAAACTTCAAGCTGTTGATTTCTTAACTTTCTCACTTCTTATGTCTTACTCATCTAGCAATCTTCTGAGTAATTATTCCTGTGGCTTTATCTCAGGAAAGGAAAATGTTGACTGGCAACAGAGTGTATCAGCCTGCTGGTGGGTTGTAGTTCTCATTGTAAATTAATAAACTGGCATTTTGAGAAATATGTTAGGGTCTCATGAGTTTGTTAGACTGAGTCATTCTTTGGAGAAAAGGCTCCTGTCAAAGTCAGACTAAGTGAGGGCCATAAATGTATTGTGGTGACTTGGTCAAAGTCAGACTTTGGGAGATCTTGCCTTGCAACTTGTGACCTTCCATAGGCTTTGTCCCACTGATCCCACGGATCTCTGTAGCAATTTCTTCTCAGTGGCCTTTGCTAATTCATCTTTCTCTGCTGAAAAGTCTTTATACATATAGTGTGGTTATGTAAGACTTGTGCGTAGGCCCCTTCTCACTTCACTACATGGCTCTTCTGGGCAATATACATACACATAGCTTCAGTTACCATTGTGGTGCCAGTGGTTACTGAATTTATCTCTAACTTTAACTTCTTCCAGCTCAGGGCCCTGTGTGTGACTCTTACTTGGCCTTTCTTTCCATTGTTTCACAGTCATTTCAAATTCAAAATATCTGTTCTATCTTAATCAGTCTAAGACCACCAGAATCAATGAGGGAGCCCACACTTCAGAGTAGTTATGGGCTGTCTCACCAAACAGAAATACAGAACTTGGGGGCAGTATGGAATTTAGGTGAAGTGTAAATGAAGCAGTGTTTCAGTGAGTTCAAAGTAGAGCTGTGTATTAAAGTGTCAATGTCAAGTCTGACTGAAGTAGATTTAGGTCACGTATCCCTGAAAACTACAAAGTTTAGATAGACTTGGAACATTATGTCTAGAAATCTCTTATTTAAAGCTGTGCAGCACTGTGTCTTGCTCCTCTGGGTCACAGTGACTTGGATCCTGCAGGCAAGGTGGAATGTTTCCTTCTTACTAACAGAATTTCAAATAGCAACATTTTTCAGTTGGGATTTTACAGAATGAGGTTTCTTGATGAATAAGAAGTCAGCATTCCTTCAAAGAAAGGGTCATTATGATACTTTACAGTTGAAGTGTGTCTTTGAGAGATAAATTGTTTCCTGTTAACTTGGCAGTTGGCTTTTTCAGAGTCTGTTACCCCAGCCTCACCAATGGCAGGACAGATTTTCACCTTCTCTAAGAAAGCTAACTTTTACTTTCTCACATCTGAGTCGTGGTATTTATTTCCCTACCTTGTCTCACACTGGCCGAGCACAGTCTCCTCACATCAGTACTACCCAGACTGGCAGTGTTCCTTGTTACTGTTGCTACTCCTCATTACCTCAAAACCTGCCTACCAGTAATTCCTATATATTTTATCTCCTCTGTGTGTTGTGAACTCATCAACCTGCCTCTGTTGCCACTGCCATGTTTTGCACAAATCCCTGTCATTACCTCTCTGTACTTACCTGGTAAGGTATGCTTATTCCCCCAGTCCTTTCTGCACCACACTGTGGCCTGGGCAATTCGGTGTGATCATGCTATTTTTTTTTTTTTTTGAGAGGTTTTTGCTATAGGGCGTGTGCACTTGCCAGATAGACAGAGAGATAGAAAGCGAGAAAGCACACCCCCCAGGGGGGATGGCCACGCCGCAATCCCTTCTCCTCCATTCTCCTCTTGGGATCTTGGGCACGCAGGCACATGCGCCCAGCGGGTGTTTTAAGCCACCAGGTTGGGGATGCAAACCGTGGTCGACTACATGGGAGTCCAGCAACATAGCCATTACGCTAACTGCTGGTCCCAATGATCATGCTACTTTTCTGTTTAAGTCTTCAATCACTTCTCCTTGCTGTTATTTATTTTATTTTATTTATTCATTCATTTAATTTTTAATTTGACCAGAGAGACACAGAGGGTGAGAGTGAAAGAGAGAGGAAGTGAGAAAGTAAGCCGCCAGATTCAGGACTCGAACCCTGGTCGGCCTTGTGGGAGTGTCCAGCGCCTTAACCACCACGTCACCTGCTGGTCCCACAACTTCTAAAGTGTTTTAAGAGGTATTTCGAGGTTAATTTCCTGAGAATTTGATATGAGAAGAAAGGAGACCTCTGACTCTGTGCTGGGAAGAATTATTTATTGTCTATAGAGACATCAACTGGAGAGAGAATTATGAAGTGTATACAGAAGTCTGAGCTTTTTTCTTTTATATAGGTTAGTAATTTGACCCCAAATTTATCAGGGCCCAAATGAGAAAGTTACCAGGGTATATTGCATCCATATTCTGGCAGAGTAAAAGGAGTAGGCAGAGTATGGTGACAGGGTTACTTGCAAAGATGTGGCTAAGGCTAAGGGAACCAGCAAGTGGGGAGGGAAGCATTCAGGAAGTAGGAAGAATGGAGCTCTTTCCCATCCCTCCCAGGGGCCTGAAGGAAGGGGAGAGTTGCCAGACTCAGGAAAGGCAAAGCACTGTAGAAGGTGTTTGGTCAGAAAGGCAAAGCCTGGGAAGGGAGACATGGTGGGAAATAAATGCTCCATCCTTAGTCTTCTGTCCTCCATTCTCTGTGGGGTCTGCCACTTAATACATTAACAGGAAGTCAGAGGATAGACTGCTCATTTGCTGGGATATTGACATCAACTTGTTATGAGCATGATGCAGGTTAAGAGTGGATCTGAAAGGGCCCATAGAGTGTCCTGAATATAGAAGAATATAAAGAAGATAGATGGACAGAGGAAGTGGTCAGGCAGTCTAGACAGAAAGGCTAGAGATGGGAATTGAATTTATGCTGCCCCGCAGTCATTCAGTCCTTATCTGTGTGTCAGTAAAGTGAACCCCATGATTGGTTTTTTGAGGAATTTCTTAATTCTCAGTAGAGTTACTTGAGTTCAACAAGTTCACTTGGTTATTTGTGATGGCATCTATTTTTAAGTCTTCCAATGAAGTTAATTGATAAGTTAATCAGGTAGGTGTTTATTGTATGGCAGGCACTACTGGGTGAGGTAGGGCTGTGAAAAGGATACGTTCTGACCCTTTGATTATTTATAGGCTAGCTGGAAAGCTTTGACATACATACGTGAAAAGTTAGCAATGCAAGGTGGTTCCAGTACATTGGCAGTCCAGTGTAGGACAAATTCCTTGTAACATGTTTTCTTCTTAGAAAACACTCCAATGTACTTTACTTTAGAATAAGAAAAGGATTTGGAAGGGGAGTTTTGTTAATGCAAGAAAAAAAAATGCTATCCTTATTCTGGTTCCAATTCTTCTCTTCCCCACTTTGGTTTAAAATTTGTTGACAGCTAAGTAAGGTGTTATTTGGATGGCTTAGAATAAGCCCTTGG